TGCTAACTGCTGGTCCCACATTTTGCTGATTTTTAGCAGTCCTGAGCAACATGATTAAAATGAGATTGGGGCCAGCTCTGTGGTCTGATAGTTAAAAGAGCTGAATCCCACATGGCTGACCCTAGTCCTGAATCCAGAAGCTTGAGAAACATGCAGGGCACAAGGGCATGCATGCCCAAAATCCCAAAAAGAGGGGGAAATGGAAGAGAAGGAATTGTGGTGTGGCCATTCCCCATAGGAAGGTGCCCTCTCCTTTTCCCTCTCTCTCTGGTTGAGAGAGACAGAGAGAGAGGGAAATCCCCTTTTGTTGAGATTTTTGATGTGGGGCGTGTATACTCACTGAAGAGACAAGAGAGAGACAGGGAGACAGAAAGCAAGAAATCGCCCCCAGGGGGTATGGCCACACCACAATCCCTTCTCTTCCATTCTCCTTTCTCCTTTCAGGACTTTAGGCATGCATACAAACACACCCAGCGTGATTTTCAAGTGAATGGGTCCAGGACTCAAACTGCAGTGATCAGGTGGGAGTCCAGAACCTTCACCACTATGCCACTTGCTGGCTCCCTTAATTATCTGTGGTTATTTCCACTTTGTCACACTCACGTACGTCTCTGGTGCCACAATCAAGGTTGGCTGTATTCTGTCTCACAAGGGCAGTCTGGAGGTCTGTGCAAGGAATGTGGTGGATAGTTTTCTACATTTCGCTCACCAAACCTAACTCACATCCTGACACGAGTGGATGTGAAGCAGTGTCCTTTTATTTGAAAGAGGACGATAAGAACAATAACCCCTCATACCTGGTACAGCTTATGCAGCACCTTTATATGTATCAGCTCAATCTTCATGACCCTGCAGAGGCAGGTGCTTAGTAAGTGCAGAAGCCAAAATTCAAACCCATCACTTCTGAGTCCAATGTTCTTTTGATCACAAACCAGCCTGCTAATTTATTATCACCCAGCACTCTTCTGAAACCCATTTAGCCCTATTCTGGCTGCATAGAAATGAATGAGACCGAGTCTCACCCCACCGAGAAGCAGAATTACATAGTGAAGAAGGAATGTATTGGTCTTTGCTTGCTGGTGACCTTGTGCCAAGGCTCAGTGTCTTCTCTGTAAGAAGGAGTGAGGACCACCTTGAAGGAGGCAGGAAGGAAGAACGTCTATGCAAAAGTTCTGGTACAATGGCTAGCAGGAAGTAATTACTCAGAAGGGCCAGTACTCTTCCATTCTTCAGCTCACAGGTCTTTCTGAGCCCAAAGACCTCAGAATTGGTCTCCAGCTCAGGTCTTTGGTCTGTGATGAGAAACTTGAGGGACGGGCTGTGGCAAAGTCTGTCTTTCATGACATCAAGAACGAAGCCAGAAGACATGCTCCAAAGTCCCATGACTCCCTCTCTCCCTGCCTTTGATGGCCTGTCCAGGTAATATTTCTGCCACCCCCATGAAGCAAAATAAAATTTATTGTGAAACTACATTTTTTTAAGAATTACTTTATTGATTTTTATTAATTTTATTTATTAATTTATTTTAATATGACCAGAGAGGGACAGAGGGAGAGAGAGAGAGGGAAAGTGAGAAAGCAAGCCACCAGATCTGGGACTCGAATCGCAGTCGGCCATGTGGGAGTCCAAGCGCCCTTAACCACCATGCCACCTGCCAGCCCCAGAACTACATTCTTGAGATTCCAAGATCATAATAGTTCCTCATTCTGGAATTATGGAATATAACTAGAAGGTCATCTTGCTCCCTTTCCAGAGCATCTTGAGAGTTAGAAACCTGAAGATGAGTATGTACTACAGACCCTACATGGACCCCTCCTAGCCTTCATCTCTCCAGATCTCATTCTTTGACTTCACCCACTGTGTGGTCACTGAGGCCATCTCACTTACCAGTGCATTTCCCCATCCAAAAGTTTAATCTGGATTAGTGGAGACCTGTTTTGCCCAAAGAGAGATTTCCACAGGAAATCATCTGGCTTTCCAAAGCCAGATGAATAGCTTCCTGCAGGATTTACACAGACTGAAATCTCAAATGCCTACAGAGCCAAACAGGTAAAGTAAATGAATCAGGGAAAATGTAATCAATGGAGAGGGGAGGGCACCGTGGCAATCAGAGAGCACGCTTCTTACACAACAGCGAGGGCACCTCATTTCTGCCCACTGTGGCCATCTCAGCGCTTCCCATTTCAGAAACCAAAATTCCAATTTCTTTTTAGGTGAAACCTTCCAATTTTAAAAATTCTCCTTCTGAAAGTGTTAAAAACAGAAGTCTGCAGTCCCTGTTAGCTTGGGATCCTAGTCCGTGCCATGCTTTAGAGTCCTGCAGAAGAGACCCAGCGCTTCCTCCTCCTTTCCCAAGCCTGGTCCCTTTTCCTCTCTCCCTCTGCGTCTTCCCATTCTCCACAACTTGGTCTTCCCATTCTCCACAACTTGGGCTCACATTCTTTTGTATCGTCCTCTGTCTTCTAGGGCATCACTGGCTTTCCCCTTTTCCAGCCCAGGGCATTCCCTGGGGGCTCTCCTAGAGCTGCAGAATTACAGCTGGAGAAAAGCTCCCTGGCATAGACCTACTTTTTCGCCTAGAAACCCCGAGCCGCCTGATACAGGGAACAAGGCCTCGCCTGTGAGCCCCTATTCTAACTAGAAAAAACCAGGACCCCACGCTCGCGAACTCAGGAGTGGGAATGGGAATAATGGACACCTCCCAGAAAACCCTAACCTTTCAGGCGGTTGGAGAGAGAGAATGAGGACAGGGTCAAGAGATGCGACAGAGCTGTGCGGTTTCCGGATGAGAAACCCCAGTTCTTTAGGTACCCCTCTGCTCAAGACATCCAAAGCAGTCGGTTCTTGGGGAGAGGTGCTGCGGACAGGACAGCTCCTACGCAGAAAGCTCTGTCCGCGCGCCCCAAGTCGGCGGCGCGCGCAGCTGCAGTAGTCACTGCGCTTCCCCACCCCCGCTCCTGGATGCCCCCCTTCCCTCTCCCGGACCGACCGGGAGCAGGAGCTCCGCCCCTAACGCACCGCCCCAGCCCCTCGCGCCTTAAAACCCGGTGGACACCGCCCCGCCGCGCCTCATGACATCAAGAACGAAGCCAGAAGACATGCTCCAAAGTCCCATGACTCCCTCTCTCCCTGCCTTTGATGGCCTGTCCAGGTAATATTTCTGCCACCCCCATGAAGCAAAATAAAATTTATTGTGAAACTACATTTTTTTAAGAATTACTTTATTGATTTTTATTAATTTTATTTATTAATTTATTTTAATATGACCAGAGAGGGACAGAGGGAGAGAGAGAGAGGGAAAGTGAGAAAGCAAGCCACCAGATCTGGGACTCGAATCGCAGTCGGCCATGTGGGAGTCCAAGCGCCCTTAACCACTATGCCACCTGCCAGCCCCAGAACTACATTCTTGAGATTCCAAGATCATAATAGTTCCTCATTCTGGAATTATGGAATATAACTAGAAGGTCATCTTGCTCCCTTTCCAGAGCATCTTGAGAGTTAGAAACCTGAAGATGAGTATGTACTACAGACCCTACATGGACCCCTCCTAGCCTTCATCTCTCCAGATCTCATTCTTTGACTTCACCCACTGTGTGGTCACTGAGGCCATCTCACTTACCAGTGCATTTCCCCATCCAAAAGTTTAATCTGGATTAGTGGAGACCTGTTTTGCCCAAAGAGAGATTTCCACAGGAAATCATCTGGCTTTCCAAAGCCAGATGAATAGCTTCCTGCAGGATTTACACAGACTGAAATCTCAAATGCCTACAGAGCCAAACAGGTAAAGTAAATGAATCAGGGAAAATGTAATCAATGGAGAGGGGAGGGCACCGTGGCAATCAGAGAGCACGCTTCTTACACAACAGCGAGGGCACCTCATTTCTGCCCACTGTGGCCATCTCAGCGCTTCCCATTTCAGAAACCAAAATTCCAATTTCTTTTTAGGTGAAACCTTCCAATTTTAAAAATTCTCCTTCTGAAAGTGTTAAAAACAGAAGTCTGCAGTCCCTGTTAGCTTGGGATCCTAGTCCGTGCCATGCTTTAGAGTCCTGCAGAAGAGACCCAGCGCTTCCTCCTCCTTTCCCAAGCCTGGTCCCTTTTCCTCTCTCCCTCTGCGTCTTCCCATTCTCCACAACTTGGTCTTCCCATTCTCCACAACTTGGGCTCACATTCTTTTGTATCGTCCTCTGTCTTCTAGGGCATCACTGGCTTTCCCCTTTTCCAGCCCAGGGCATTCCCTGGGGGCTCTCCTAGAGCTGCAGAATTACAGCTGGAGAAAAGCTCCCTGGCATAGACCTACTTTTTCGCCTAGAAACCCCGAGCCGCCTGATACAGGGAACAAGGCCTCGCCTGTGAGCCCCTATTCTAACTAGAAAAAACCAGGACCCCACGCTCGCGAACTCAGGAGTGGGAATGGGAATAATGGACACCTCCCAGAAAACCCTAACCTTTCAGGCGGTTGGAGAGAGAGAATGAGGACAGGGTCAAGAGATGCGACAGAGCTGTGCGGTTTCCGGATGAGAAACCCCAGTTCTTTAGGTACCCCTCTGCTCAAGACATCCAAAGCAGTCGGTTCTTGGGGAGAGGTGCTGCGGACAGGACAGCTCCTACGCAGAAAGCTCTGTCCGCGCGCCCCAAGTCGGCGGCGCGCGCAGCTGCAGTAGTCACTGCGCTTCCCCACCCCCGCTCCTGGATGCCCCCCTTCCCTCTCCCGGACCGACCGGGAGCAGGAGCTCCC